CCCAGTACCCCCAGTGCTCAGTACTCCTAGTGCTCAGTACTCCCAATGCCCAGTACTCCCAGTGCTCAGTATACCCAGTGCTTAGTATGGCCAGTGCTCAGTACTCTCAATGCCCAGTACTCCCAATGCTCAGTATGCCCAGTGTTCAGTACTCCCAATGCCCAGTACTCCCAGTGCTCAGTACACCCTGTGCTCAGTGCTCCCAATGCCCAGTACTCCCAATGCTCAGTACACCCAGTGCTTAGTATGGCCAGTGCTCAGTGCTCCCAATGCCCAGTACTCCCAATGCTCAGTATGCCCAGTGCTTAGTACTCCCAGTGCCTAGCACTCCCAATGCTCAATACGCCCAGTGCTCAGTATATCCAGTGCTCAGTGCTCCTAGTGCCCAGTACTCCCAATGCTCAGTGCTCCCAGTGCTCAGTATGCCCAATGCTCAGTACACCCAGTGCCCAGTATGCCCAGTGCCCAGTACGCTCAGTGCTCAGTACACCCAATGCTGGGTTGAGCCAAAGCTCTCAGAAGAGGTATCCACAGCAACCACCTTTACTCCTCCTACTGACTCACTCCTGGTGCCCCTGTAACCTGACCCACCCATCCACTCCCCAGACTGGCAGATTCCTACTTGCCCAAAGCCTCCAGGAAGATGCTAGGTAAAGTAACCAGTGGCCTACCAAACCCTGAGCCCTCCCACCTTTCTCTGACAGGTAACCCCAAGGTCCCTCCTTCTCCTCCTAAGATTTCTAACACATTGGTCGCTCTCTCCTCTTCCCTTCTGCTGCACAGGGTCCTTTAAATCTAGTCTTCAAATCAATCTGTACTCTTTATGCCCCCCAGTCCTCACTGCTCCTCAGGCCCCCACTCTTCACTGCTCCTTCTGCCCAGCGCAATCTGGCCTGTGGAGGAGTGAACCCCAAAGTCCATTGTCAAGCCTTAACCCTTTCCAGATCAATGACTGTAATCACACACCTCTGTTTAAAAATCTTATCTCCATCCCTCCCCCTGAGCCCTAACCCTGTGCTGGATCCCCATGCCTGATCAGTCAGGCTTCTGTAGGTGGCTGCGCCATTGTCCCCCTATCGCTGGAGCTCAAAACTCTTGAGACCACATAGGCTGGGTGGGAGGAGGTGACTAGTTCTCACTGTGATGGGGTCTCCTTGCCTTTCTGACACTTCCTCACCCTCTGCCTCTATGTGGGGCCACGTGACTTTTCTGGACAGTGCGAGAGAACTAGAGACAAATCTCAGTCCAGGTACAGAGAGTGTGTGCCATTCCTGTGCAAGACCCTCCACTGTTATCTTCCCGCTGTGGTGCGTAAGGAGGCCCAGTTCTGCAGGCCACGGGACCACAGAGCTCCCACTTCGGAGTCACTGCTGTTGTCCAAAGGGCTGTGGCTTCTGGAAAGCTGCCCATAAGAGACCTCGAGAAATAAACGCTTTGTAATAGAAAGCCTCCAAGATCTTGGTGCTGTTGGTCATGACAACATAACCCAACTCTGTGTTCTTGCTGGTCGGCACCCCTGGAGTCCGCTCCAGCTCGTGGTGACTCTGTACAACAGGATGGCACACCACCTGGTCCTCCGCCAGCCTCGCCGTCATTGCTACCTTTCAGCTCACTCTTGTGGCCAGTGTCAGTCCAGGTCCTGGAGAGTCTCTTGATCTATGACCCTCTGGGTTATGAAGGGTGACGTCTTTCTGCAGGGACCGGCCCTTCCTGATGACATGTCCACAGTGAGCAAGGTGAGGACTCCGCATCCTCCCGTCTCGGTAGCGTTCTGCCGACTCCCTTCCAGACAGATCTGCTTGTTTCTCTAGCATTCCATGGTCTAATCTAACTTATCCTGACCAAGGGTCAGTCCTTCCAGTCGACGAATCTCATTGGTTCTCTAGCAGTCCTTCCCCGTCTGTTCCTGTAATTACCCTCTGGATCTGGGCCCATAAGATCACGTCTGGAGTACAACCATGGTCTCCTAACGAATCACCCCACCTGCACTTTCTGAACGCCTTCTAAGTATCCTAGAACTCCCAACCAGCATTTCTTTTTCCTATGCATTACTTATCCTATAATTTGTGATATTGTCTTAAAACAGTATTTATTACTATGTATGCTTAATTATTAAACTAGATGTTGGTTGAACAAAAAGAATAACCTATGGTTGGTAAAAATGGAAGAGATTCTCCACCCACCAGCGGTCAAGGCAACAAGAGAGAAAGGCGCAGTGAGCTGGTCAACGTGTCAGTCTGACAGCCGCTAGAGCTCCTGAGGATGCAGACGAGCCGGCACCTAAACTAGCATGGCCGACACCAGAGGGGCTACGAGGAGCTCAGGAAGTCAGCTCCCTTCTCTCTCACCCTGCCCTGATGTGCCTGCGGGAAAAGACGGCCATCAAGGATAAGCACAAGTACCCAAGCTCCCAACACAGTGGGGGGTGGGGGGTGGCGGGGAATGAGGCAAGATGGTGATGACTAGAGAATCCTAGCTAGGGAGTGGGTCTCACACTCCTGGGGGGAGTGGGCCTCCAGCCACCAGGAGGAATGGTCTTCGAACTGCAGAGGAGGAAACTCAGCAGCATGAAGCAACGGGTCACTGCCGGGCACAGAGCTGGAGGCGTTCTAGTCTCATTCTAGTCTTGATCCCTTGGGCCAGCTCTGTTCTGGGCCCAAGAACATCACAAGGACACCATGCCCGAGTCTAAAGGGGGCAGCATGGTCTGGAGAGGCTCCTCCTCATCCTCCAGCACCTGACTGTTCTTCACCTGCTCACACGGGAAGCGGGGCCAGGGCAGGCAGCTTCCTCTCCTTTCACCAACACCAACTCAGCAGGCACTTCCTCCCCCATAAAGCCAATATTGTCACCCGCCATCACAACGAAGACCAGGGAACCGCAGGATAGGCTGAGTGGCACAGGGGTCGAGGCCTGAGCTAGCTGGGGAGTGGCACTGAAGTGCCATCTAGTCTAGGAAACCAGGAAGCAGGGTGCAGGCCCTGGGGAGAAGGCTTGCGGAATAAGCGTGGCTTCACATTCCACCGCAGGCACAGGCAGCTCCCTACAAAGCCCGGGCAGAAGTCCAGAGAACAGCTGGGCCGGGGAGTGCAGGGTAACAGAGTCCTGTGTGCAGGCCTCCCTCGGCCTGATGATCCTAGCATGTGTCTAGTGTGTCAATGACATGGAATGGTCATGTCCTCTCCGCAGAGCTCCTGCCACTTGCCCAGTCAACCTGGCTCTTCATCGTTGTCATGTGTCCTGAGTGGGACTAAGGGCTGAGCCACTTGGATGTTGGGCTGTGTGTTTTCCTCAAGAGAAGAGGCCACTTCGTGCTAGAGTGCTTGGCTGTGTGGGTGCTGGACAGACAGGGCTGGTCATGCCCAAGACGGGCAACCCTCGGGAAGCGTCAGTGACCCACCAGAGCAAGGAGTGCCTAACACAGCCCACTGCTCAGCTCCCGGAACTTGGAGCTCACTCGCCAAAGGAAGGACTTAGACATTTAGACACTGAACTGTGTTTTCTAAAAATGTAGGCCCCTTTGGCTAGGCCATAGTTCTCAATATCGTGTGGTTATGCCCCATTTTGTGATCTGATGTCCGAACTCACTGCCAACGGATGGATGCTAGCTCCTGGCGGCCCTATGGAACAGGACAGGGCTGTCTCTGTGAGTTTCCCCAGCTGTAACTCTTAACGGGAGTAGAAAGCCCCATCTGTCTCCCAAGGAGTGGCCAGTAGTTTGGAACTGCCAACCTTGGTGATGGTAGCCCAATGCAGCCCGCCAGGGCCCTCATATCTATGATTTGAATGAGGCAGATTTGTGGCAGTTATGTTAATGAGACAGAGATTAAACAAGCTGGCAGAGATCAGAGGAACCTACTACCACAGGCAAAGAAGAGCCAGGAGCGGGGCATTCTGTAGGCCTGGGGTACCTTGGCTGAGAAACTCTTCCACCCAAGGGATAGAGGATGAAAAGGACACACACACCCTCCGCCCCCCCCCCCGGAGCCAACAGAGAAAGAAAGCCTTCCTCAATAGCTGGCACCCTGGATTCTGCCGTCACACCTCCTAACCTGTGAGAGAATGGATTTCTGTGTCCTAAAGCCACCACTTACAGTATGTGCCTTAGAGCAAAGCCACCCTCCAAGAGGGAAGCATGGACAGTGCCTCTGGATTGGGCCCAAACCCACATGCTGGGGGACTTCAGACAGTCACAGAGCTCTCTGCACCTCCGGCTCCCCATGGGGAGGGCGGAGGAAATAACCGCACCTGCCTCCAAGGCTTACGGAGGAGAAATCATTCTGCCTCATGCACACCCACCATCTGATGAACGTTGGTTTTATCTCTGTCAATTAGATGTCAGTGTACTCCCTCCTGGAATCTACCGAATCAGGTGATTTGGTTTTTTGTTTGTCTTCTACCAGTTTTATTGGCATGTAATTCACATATCAGACAGTTCAGTAGTTCAATCACATCAAGAAGAGTTGTACAATCATCACCACCATTTTAGAGCATATTCTTCATTCTTGTACTCATCCTTGTTTATCCCCATTTTCCCCCAACCTTCCCTGCTTCACCCCAAGGAACCATTAATCCAGGTACTGTCTCTACAGGTTTACCTATCCTGGATTTCATATACAGAAAACTTTTTTTTGAAACTAGCAAGAAAAAAACTAAAAACAATAACAAGGTAAAACAGATTTTTAAGACCTCAGTCAAAAAGAAAGCAGAAAATATTAAAAATTAGAATAAAATTTTAAATGGATTAGAAGAGAGATCAAATGATCAGGTGTTAAATTTTAACCTAACTGCATCTGCAACAATCCACTTTCCAATGTACAGTGCATGCTAGCAAGACTGCTCCCCTCCCTGGTCCATGGTCAGAGGGAATTCATCAGAGACTTCATCCACACGTATTTTCCCTTCTTTTTTTTTTTTTGGTTGACTGACATTCAACTCATTGTACGGATGGTTTGGCGGTTCCCTGGCTCCTTGTGCCCCTCTCAGGGCAGGGGACTCACCTATGGTCCTTCGGAGATCTTCACACTGGCTGATGTGCGGGAACTTCAGGATCTCCTTCCACTTCTTGCTTTTGCCTTTGCGCTTTCCTCCACCCCCTGCAGAGATGAGGGAAAGAGGTTAGTGGTGGCCAAGGCTCTGGAGTCGGCATCCCATTCTACTGAGCCCACTACCAGCTAGCTGGCTGGGCAGTGTCAGGTGACTCAATGAGGTAGGAAAACACGGGCTGACTGGTGCCAACTTACTAAACTAAAGGGTGAACAATTTCTCCCTTTTCACCAGCACATCCGAGATTCTCTTCCTGGGTATGGCCATCCTCTGTCTCTCCCAACCCCAAATCACCTTCCTACAAGATCAAAGTCTTTCCCAAACAGAAACTCAGGGGCATTTGTTCACTGTGGATAATGAGTCAGTTAGTTTGTGCCTGCTTTACTTATTGGGCAATCCATCCCAGCAGCTGCAGGGAGGTCTTTGGGCAAGCCAGGGAGACCCCAGCACCCACCCACACTCTCTCTCTCCCTGTCCCAGGCCGCCATCCAACATGGACTCCCTCCCAGAGGCAGCAGGTTCAAGCCCTCTCTGCCTGTACCACGGCCACACCAGGATCCCTGAGGTTGCACCTCCCCAGGCCCTGGTGGTGCCTGGGATCTGGTCTTGCAGACCAGACTAGAAGCTAGCCTTTTCCTATTTACTGTTTCCTGGAATTGATTGGATCATATCCTCCCGAAGTGTGTGCTGGAATCTCAACCCCTATACCTGTGGACTCCTCACCACTTCCTTTCTCATTTTGTCCCGTTGCAGAAATGGTTGAACAACATCAGGAATATCACATGCCAATAAAATTTTGCTGAAGGTCATTCAACGACGGTGCAACCGTACATTGACAGGGAGCTGCCAGAAATTCAAGCCCGATTCAGAAGAGGACAGGGCCAGTTGGAGCTTGACTCAAAGCAGGAAATACCAGAAAAATATTGATTTATGTTTTATAGATGATGCAAAGGTCTGTGTGAATCACAAGCCACTGTGGATCACACTGAGAACAAGGATGCCAGACACTTCATTGTGCTCAGGCCGGACCTGTACGAGGACTGAGAGGCAGTGATTCGAACAAAACAAAGGAATAAATGCCACGTGGTTTAAAATCAGGAAAGGTATCTGTCAGGACTGTATCCTTTCATCATCCTCATTCAATCTGTACGCTGAGCAAATGATCAGAGAAGCTGGATTATATGAAGAAGAACGCAGCATCAGGAGTGGAAAACGGCTTATGAACACTGAGATACACAGATGATACAACCTTGCTCGCTGAAAGTGAAAGGACTTGAACCACTTGCTGATGAAGATCAAGGATTCAGCCTTCAATGTGGATTACAACTCTATAAAGAAAATGAACATCCTCACAACTGGATCATGATAAACAGAGAAAAGCCTTAAGTTTTCATGGAGTTTGTCTTGCGTGGGTCCATAATCAATACTCATGGAAGTGGTCGTCAAAAGATCAGATGATGTACTTCATTAAGCAAATCTGCTGCCCAGGATCTCATTAAAATGCTGAAGAGCCAGGAAATCACTTTGAGGACTAAGGTGGGTCTGACCCAAGCGATGGTATTTTTTATTGCCTCATATGCATGTGAAAGCTGGACAATGGAGGAGGAAGACTGAAGACAAATTGGTGCCTTTGAATGATGGTGCTGGTGGAAAATACTGAAAATATCATGGACTGTCAAAAGAACAAACAGATCTGTCTTGGAAGAAGCACAGTAACAGCAGGTTTGTGGTCTGTGGTCTGTGGACGTGATGTAATGTCATTACTTTGCATCATGCGATCCAATGTGATAAAATCACCTTCCATAGTGCAACTTATGAAGTCCTTACTCCCCGACATTTGGCCCCAGTTGGAGAAGGGGACAGGAAACAACAGAGAAAATGAGAGAGGAAGTGGTAAGGGATATTAGCGTAAGTTAAGGCATATTGGTGTAGAGTGAATTATAGAACTTAGAGAACTTATCACTTCAGAGTTATAAATAGCTGTGTGGCCACACACACACAGAGAGAACCATCTACAAGTCAAGGAACGCTACCAACAAGGGCAGAATCTTCACAGTCAAGACCCTGGTTAACGCCCCGCCCCATCGATGAGCAATGACATGTCTGCTCTTTCAGGCCAGCCCATGGATAGCTTTGCCACAGCAGCAGGAAGAAAGGAAGGCATTCCCTTGGGGCCTGGGAAGCCTTACAAAACAAATCATCAAGCAAGTGGATTGTGGAGCCCTTACCACTTCCTCTCTCATTTTCCCTGTTGTTTCCTGTCCCCTTCTCCAACTGGAGGCCAAATGTCAGGGAGCAAGGACTTCAATTTCCACTTTTCTCAGTCACCCCCTTCTTCTCCACCCTCACAACTTCCAGGGTCTCGGAGGGCCTGTTTCGGACAGATGCCAGAACACTGGTGTACACTCGTGGAATCTAGCATGCCACTGGATTATCACCTGCATTTGGCCTTGGACCTGAAAACACTTCTGTGCCAAGTGGCTCCAGGAGGAGCAGGATGCTGTCACCTTATGATGGGACCAGGCCCCCCTCCTGAGGGCCAGGAAGTAGAAGAGGGAGCTGTTGGGGCAGGTCACCAGTGTCTGTCTCTCTGTTCTCCACTTGTCCCATCTTCAGCCCCAGCAAAGCAGCCCCAGCTCCCCACTCTCAGGTCTCCACAGGTGGCAAAGGCCATACCCTCCAGGGGGTGGGGGTGAATGTGTGTTGGACACCACCCCTGAGCAGCCACTGGTTTGAAGAGCCTCTTGTTGAATGCCCAGAGGGAGTCTTGGGGGAAGACACCATTGGGCCATGTCACAGATGAAAGAACAGGCGTTAGAGGCTGCATAACTCATCAGCTGGTGGCCTGCTGACACCACCCTGCTCCTGGACTCCAGCTAGTGGTAGCACACACACACTCCCACACGCCACAACCTATCCCACACACCCAAAGCCCATCACACATACCCTACACACCACACCACACATGACACATTACATACCACATCACACACCACAAGCTGCCCTGAGCCAAGCCCCCCACACACCCTCCCCTGCAGTCCTCCCCCTGTTCTCACCCAGAGACGAGAAAACCGAGGTGTGGGGCAGGGCAGCAAGTCCTCTATGGCCACTTGGCTCCTCCGTGACAGAAACAAGCCCCTGAGTTCAAAGAGTAGGCCCTGGGCTCTCTGCCCACCCCTCCTCGCCCCCCATTGGGCTGCAGCACCCCCATTTAAGTGTACTCAAAGCTGGAACTTCTTAGAGGATCCAAGGGAGCGGTGACGGCAGCACCCTGTGACAGGCGCAGGAGGGGACGGCACATACCCAGGCCTGCAGCACTCCCCAAAAAGCTGCTGCCCAGAGCCAGGCCTGCAGCCATTCTGTTTGACCCTTACATGCCTTGTTTGTTTCCTTGTTCTCCAAGCCAGCTGCCAACAATTAAACACCAGGTCTCACATACAACTCATGCGCTGACTTCTCTCACATGGTCAGGCAGCCCACATGGCGAGAACCGGCCAGGGCTGGGCAGCAGCTGCCCCAGGACAGGACATGTGGTCTCCAGAGAGGCCCTGCCCCACCTAGCTGGGGTCCTCATTCACATGACCTGCTAGCCCCCTAGGGGTTTGTATGTGGTCCCCCAAAGAGTCAGCCGCAGAAAAACCAGGTCCAAGACCTCCATCTGGGGCTACACAGCCTCGAAAGGACTTCCAAGTTCTCTGCCCTCCCCGCCCACCACCCTCCCACCGCTCTGTCCCCAAACCTGGCTGGCTGAGGCCTCTGGACAATACAGATCCCCAGGCTGCCCCCAGAACTCACTGGGCCACAGGCTCGGGGAGCAGAAGCCAGGAATGTGCTTCCTTAAAGGGCTCTTCAGGTGATGCTCGCGCGCGTGCCGACAGCACATGCGCGTGCGCGCGCACACACATTTCTCTAGATGAATTTAGCCATCGAACTACAGAATTCACCAGATTCATCCATTCAACCAATATGGACTGAGCCTCTACCAAACTCCGCGCTGGGGTTGCAGGGTTATGGGGTGGGCATGGTCTGTACCCTCTGGGACTTCCGCTCCAGGAGGGGGGCTGTCCGCACAGAGTAGCTCCTGCCACACACACACACACACACACACACACACACACACACAC